GCCATAGCCTCCTGTGATCTGTCCCTGCGGTTGATATCATGCCTGCCCCATCTACCATGCAGCCCCTGTAAAGGATGGGTGCAAGGTTGGACCCCCAGAATCAGGTCCCCACAGAACCTCAGAGCATGTCGGCTCTGCAGACATTACCAGTCAGGGCAAATCCAACACGGGAAGGGGAAACAGACACAAGACACCAGTAAGGACAGGCAGAGTTTGGAGAGGTGTGGCCACCAGCCAAGGACCCCTGGGCCTGGCCACCATCTCCAGCAACTGAAAAACTTCTGGAGCCTCAGAAAGAAGAGCGAACTGTTCGCCCATCCCATAACACTGGATGGGCTCGGCCTGTGGCAGTAAACACGCAGTAAACACCCGTGGAACACCCCCTCCCCGCCCCCGTCAGGGACACTTTGCTGCAGTGATCCTAAGAGACAAGCAGAGACCCTTCCTGGGAAAGTACTGGAAATGCAATGCTCCCCCCTCCTCCTCTGGAACCTTCCAAGCAACAGACCTCCATCCGAGCATCTCCAGGCTCTGTGTCCCAGGACACAGTTGGCAAACTCAGAGGGTAGGAAGGTCCCCAGCGGGTTAGGTGTGCTCCGCTGTGGGTGTGGCCGGTCAGCCTGGACTCCTCGTCCCTCCAGTTCCTACCCTTGTTGCTTTTGTGTCACTAGGCAAAGCACTCCGAATCACACGGTTTCCTGGACCCAGTGGAGACACTCCAGTTTAAAAAAAAATTACAGGATAAGACAAACCAGTGCCAGGAATCTGGAGCCCTGTTGATGACACCAGCTGACCACTGGCCCTGTCCCCAACCACAGGGGACAAAACTGGTCCCTTAGCAAGAATGGCAGAGGAGTGCAGATGAATGTGAGACATCTCTCACACGCCTCCGCCGGCTGAGTAAGATCCAGGCACCCTCCCTCCCTTACGGGATCCAGGCCCCGTACTCAGCCCTCGGCCTGCAAACAAATGCAAGCAGAAGTCAAGAGTCTGGAGAAAAATGTGTCCTACCTGTGGTCCTCCCCAGGCCACTGGCAGCAGCCATAACTCAGGACACGGCCTCCCAGCACACGCCAAGGCCGTGCATCTGTCTGTGGGATTCAAGGGTCCTGCACAGCAATAAATTCACCCACTTCCCTGCTGAGACCAATAAATCCACCCCACTGCATGCTCCGTAATGCAGTTGTGCGGAACTCAACCACGCTCCGCTGGGGAAGCAAGAAAACGCCCCTCTGTGAAGGGTCATCGTGACATTCATACTCCAGCCTCAAGATTCTGGAGACTTTGTTATGTGGGCTCAGTCACTCACTGGAGACATGAGTGTAACCATAGGCAACCTGGCAGCAAGCCCTTTTCTGGGCTAAGTCACCAGGCACTCCATATCCCAAAACTAAGCCCCCCTGGTGGCAATGAGGTCCTATGGGTGCCTGGAGAGACGCCATCATTGAGATGCTAATGCAACCAGTTGCTGCTTCCAGGATTTGTGGACCTCTCCCTGTGCTGTGTGAATGGGGGTACTAGCAGTGTCTACCTTTGGATGTTCACAAGTGAAAGCTTGTTTGCAAAGCCCTGTGTAAGGCCTGTTGAGCCTGCTTCTCTACCTTTGTTGGTGACAGACATGGGTCTCTGCACACAAGTTAGGCTCACAGCCTAGCCATGGGGCCAGCCTCCTGGGGTGAAAAGGTATCTCTGTCCCCTGCCCCCCACAGTCAATGCCCAGCCTGTGCCCTGACCCTCTCTGCCTAAGTCCCTTTCCCCTCCACCTTCTGGCTGACTGCATGTGACTTTTCTGCATGGCCCTGGGCTCTGGGGTTCTCAGATGATTACAGTTTCCCTCCTGGCCTCTGCCACCACACCTTCCACAATCCCCAGAGGGGACCTGAGAGGTGGTTACCCTCTCAAGCGAGCTTGGCTCGCCCACTGTCCTCCTGTCTGACTGCTCGTTACGCCCTGCAACCAACACTTTTACTCCTTTTCACCCTGCTCCTTAGGGTTTGGGTGGATGGACGCAACCTGAGCTCACGGGTACGCCAGCCCTAGGTACGGTGAGGAATGCAAGACAGTTGTGTTGGGGCTCCCAACACAGCTGTGGAAGGCAGAGGCAGGGGAGAGGGGCCATTAAACGGTCCAGTAGACCAGAAGCAGAAGAGACACCCCCCCCCGCCCCAGCACAGAGTTCTGAACCTGGGCAGAAGACCCAGAAAATAGTGGATAGCATCGGTCAGAGGGAGGGAGGAAGTCCCAGATCTCAGGAGGGAGCAAAGGGACCAGAGTAGAGGCCCAGAAGTCACATGAAGTCTGAATGGCAGCGGGTTCAAGTGACCAGGAGAGCAACAGAGATGCAGGTGCTGGACCAGGGTGTGAGATGGTACGGCCTTCATCTCTGAGGGAGAAAACTCTCCTATGGTGGCGCACTGGGAGGAAAGAGCCAGGGAGCCAAGAAGGGAGAGCTAGACGGGGCGACCACCTCTCAAGCATGAGGAGTAAACCAAGGCTCACGTGGGGTAAGTAGTGGCAAGGCTGCCTAAGAGGCTGCCCCTCAGACTAGCAGGCACCCTCAAGAGCCTGCTGAGTGGACAATACAGGGGCCTCTGGGGTCTAGGACATCCCTTGGCAACACAGCTGAGGCCACATCCCCAGCCAGGGCTGCTTTCCAGGCTTCAGAAGGGAGGCCATTCTCCTCCTCCCTCTTCTCTCTGCACCTTTCAGAAGAAAGAGAAACTAAAACTGCTGAGCCCTTGCTCTGCTCTGGGGCTGGGAATGTTCCTGGGTCGTTTCCATGGCAACCCCCGGACCTGCTTCTTCCTTCTGGCTCTAAGCGTTCAGGCCTGGAGCATTTGCACCTCACCCTAAGGGCTGGCCGTGAACACAGCCAGGTCTCACGGCTTCCAAACTCTAGAAACCCCCTGTCTTTCTCAGCACTTCAGTGCCCACACCCTGCCCCTGCTGGCCTCCCCCCTCCTCCCTCCCACTCTCTACCCCTCCCCTTCCCCCCATCTCTCTCCCTCCCTCCAGTCCTTCCTCCCCTTCTCCCCACCCCTCACACACACACTTTGTCTCCCGATGCCCAAGTGACATTCCTTCACTCTTAGAAGGAATAAAGAAAACCAGCAGATCTTGTGTAGCATGACCTGAAGCAGTCACACGGGTGGTGCGGTCACGGGTATCAGTCTCTCTCCTGTATGTCACGTGCTGTTATGTTTAAAGTCCAGAGCCGGCCTCCGTGGACTCAGTGTGGAAACTTGGTTTCCATCTTGCCATACATCATGGAACTCACGGGTGTCCTGAGAGCTCTGCTGCCAGCGTCTCTGGGCTTTTCTGATCATCGCAGGCATGTGCCCTAGTTTATGTAAATCAGTGCTCTGTTGTGAATTTATTAAGCAGACTCCTTCCCCTGCCCTCCTGGATGTGAGCTTCATGACTTGAGGGCACGTTTGCCAGCTAACTTTTACTTTGAGATTGTTGCTGATTTATGCCCAGCCCATCAGATGATCTACCCCACCCTGTATCTCTCACAGGTAGGACTCTCCCCCTGGGCCCACATCCTCTCCTATTCCTCCTCTCTCTCTCGGAGAGGCCTTTCCTGCCTCCTCTGCAGACCACATTTTCTGCCATTTTGTTTTGTGAGATAGAGTCTTACTGTGGCAGCCCAGGCTTGCCTAGGACCTGGCCAGTCTCTGATTTGTGGCAACCCTCCAGCCTCAGCCTCCTGGGTGCTGAGGTCTCAGGAGTGTGCCACTGGGAATGGGCGCAGTCCACCTTCTCGCTCCATTAATCCATGTGTCTTCATGAGGACGGCCTCCCTTCTTCTCTAGGAAACACTGATAATTTTCGGCTCAGCGCCTCTGCCTGTCTGTGTTTCCTTTCTCGGTAATAGTGAAAGGGGCGGGGGGGGGGGGGTTGACGTTTTTCCTGGCTGACCTCATCCACAAAACTAAGCACATATGGCGTGGTACCTGGCGTGCCGGAAGTGTTCGGTCAATATGTGTAGAGTGGTTCTTATCAGGCACTCGGTGGAGAGGTATCCAGTTATAAAAGGGGGGGAGGGTCCAAAAGCTCTAGGTTCAGAGAAAGAAGCCAGACACGAAAGGCCACGGATTGTGTAACGCCATTTACATGACATTCCTGCAATAGGAAATCTGGGGAAACAGAAAGCACACAGGAGGCTGGGGCGGCTGGGAGAAAGGACAGAGGGACAGGCAGCTGGGAGAAAGGACAGAGGGACAGGCGGCTGGGAGAAAGGACAGAGGGACAGGTCACTTTCCCTCTAGGGTGAGGATTGCCTTCTACAGTTAGGTTGCGGAGACAGTTGTGTTTGGTGTCGTGAGGATACCAAACCCTTGGGCTTGTTCTTTCCGAGGGCAAGCTCTATGCGTGTGTGATTTATGTTTCAATGGCAGCATCTTTATGGGGTCCCTCCATTTGTACCCCAGCAGCAAGGCGTCACACCGGGTCAGCTGGTCCTCGGCAAGCAGCCTTGCATTGGGGACTCACTCTTCACCAGCCTCAGGCCCTGTGGCCAGGGCTGTCCTGACTCAGGCCTAGTCTGCTGCCAGCTCCCCCCCAGAAGTGGAAAACCACTTCCTCTTCCAGGTCTGCCCTGCCCTCTGCAGACCAGGGAACAGCCCAGCACAAAAGTCAGGGGAGCCGGGCGGTGGTGGCGCATGCCTTTAATCCCAGCACTCGGGAGGCAGAGGCAGGCAGATCTCTGTGACTTTGAGGCCGGGCTGGACCGATAGCAGCCTCCAAAACAATACAGAGAAACCCTGTCTCGTAAAAACAAAACAACAAAAAAAAAGTTAGGGAACCGAGAGCTTAGGCTGACCCTCTCAGGGACGGGTGGGGGAGTTTGCTCTCTCGAGCTACCTCAGACCTCTCCGTCGAGAAAGATGCTGCAGGCATACGCTACTGTGTCCAGAGCCCTGGGACTGACTGGAGATGTCTCCCCTGGGTGTCTGGAGGGAGCAAGCTGTCCCCATCTGACCTGATGTCTGTTCCAGGTACATATGTCATGACCGTCACAGCCAACGACGCCGATGACGTCACCACAGCCAACGGCATGGTGCGGTACCGGATCGTCACCCAGACACCCCAGAGCCCGTCCCAGAACATGTTCACCATCAACAGTGAAACGGGGGACATCGTGACGGTGGCAGCAGGCCTGGACCGGGAGGTGAGATGGGCTGAGGGGGTGGGTCACATGGGAACAGCCAGTGCCATGAATCAAACGTAGGGTTAGGAAGTCGGGGATCCAGGTGACATTCAGCACTGACTCCTGCCTGGGCTGGCAGGAGACAGACGGAACGCAGCGCTCACCTCACTGCTTAGGGCAAGCCACCAGCCCACAACCCTGTGAAATCCTCAGAGTCACACCGCACAACGGGGACTCAGAAAAGCCAGGGTGAGCCCCCAGGTTCTCAGGTCCCTGTCACCGCTGTACTCCAGGTCTGGGGTCCTTGGAACCCTACTCCCCGCCCCGAGCTGGCCTAGACATACTCAACCACCACAAGAGAATAGCTGTGTGCCCTCTGGGACGTAACAGGCACAAGAGGGTGTTCCTGGGCACCAAGCCCTGCCTGGATCATCAGGCAGATGGTCATTTACACAGACACGGTTTTATGACCTGGGATGTGTGTGAGGGAAGGCAGGCCGGTTGGAACCCACCAGAAATAGTAGAACTAACCACCTGTTCCTGTCCAGCCCACTTTCAGGAAGATGTATAGCCAGCCCCTAATTGACAGTCCCCAGCCAGCAGCGTCAGGACAGTGCTGTCTGCCCTCACCACAGTCTGGCTTTCTTTGCATCCTGTGACCCCAGAGGCCGGCCACACTACAGACGTAAAATACTCACTGGGGACCAGGAGGGAGAGTCCTGCTGAGCACAGAGGCACCCACAACCCTGGGGTTCCTTTGTAGAAGTGTGGCTGCCGCTTGCCAGCAGTGCTCTGTGCTGGTGGCCCAGATGTCCCCTCTTCATGCTTCTGGAAGCTCCACAGCCTCATGCTCTGGGTCTGCAGGGACTTCATGACAAGCCGGGGCTGCTCAGCTGTGACTAGGGGCTCCTGGTGACAGGATACGGGAATAAGCTGGCAAGAAAGTGGCAGATCTCCTCCCTAGGAATACTCACACCAGGGGAATCTGGCAGGTTTGAGGGCTGTGGGGCACCTGAGGCCTCCAATCCCCATCTTGGCTCTAAAACTCAGAGTCCTCTGGAAAATTCAAACTACCCCTGACCATCTAAGTTGTAAGAGGCAGTGCACAGGGTGGTACTCGGACAGTGACCCTTTGTAGCTGTGTGGTGTAGAAGGAGGGATAATGGAAACAGCTGAGGTGTGGCCTTCACTGGCTGTACGGGAGCATTGAGCTAGTCGCGACACCTTCTTCTGCAAAGGTGTGTGTGTGTGTGTGTGTGTGTATGCACGCACGCGCATATGCATGCATATGTGCATGTGTGTCTGTGTGTCTGTGTATGTGTGTACGTGTGTATGTGTGTGCATGTCTGTGTCTGTGTGTGTGTGCACGCATGCATGTGTGTGTGTGTGTTTCATGAAGACAGAAACATTAGGAGGTGTTCTCATGTTATATGCTGCTGAGGCTGGCAGTTGGGGTACGTGGCTGAGCTTGCCTTAGACATCCAATCTGTCCCAATGCTTCTCCAAGGAGAAGCTGAGCCCAGCATGGGTGGGCATGGTGGAACATGCCTTGGCATGGGTATGTTCCTCCTCCTCACCCTCCTTCTCCTCCTCTGGTATTGGTTGGGGATGCTGTGGTGACCTGCTTTCCCCTATCTTCCTAATGGCTTCAATTGCTAATATTCAATTCCAGCAAAATTCTCTTCTCTACCATTTGTATCTCATCCTCAAGAAACAGAACCAAGTTAGTGGATAGGACCAGTGAGCACAGTAGCTGAGCAGGGATGAACTAGGGGCCTGTTGTCTAAAGGATGCAACGTGCGTAACTGTTATGTTCGTGAGGTGTGGGAGCTGGGGGTAAACATTGAATTAAATTCCACCCTGGGGGGAGCAGAGGGGGGGATGCAGTGGGGCAGGAGGTTGGAGGGGTTGGGGGGCCGGGGAAGGAAGGGATGGAGAGGGAACTGGGAGTAACATGTATAAGAAGTTAAATAAAAAATTATTATAAAAAATTCCAAACAAAAATGATTGCATTTAGCATGCTGTCTTTAGATAGGAGGACCTGGCCTTCCTTACATCCAGAGAGAGAGAGCAGAAAGGGTGATCATGACAAGGCCCAAAAGGAGGACCAGGGTTGGCATAGAGGAGACCCATCCAGGTATGGGGGTTAGAGAAGGAGGCTCCTGTGGGCACATCAGTAGACATTGTCACAAAAAAGACAACAGGACTCCAAGGAAAGCCTGTAATTCAGGGAAGAGGGTGACACGGAGCATGCCCCATTGTGAGTTCTGAGCATCTCCTACAGGGGGAGAGGACCACCCAGAGCATGCCCTATGGTCAGCACTGAGTATCTTCTACAGGGGGAGAGGGTGACACGGAGCATGACCCATTGTGAGCTCTGAGCATCTTCCACACAGGGAGAGGGTGACACGGAGCATGCCCCATTGTGAGCTCTGAGCATATTCTACAGGGGGAAAGGACCACACAGAGCACGTCCCATTGTGAGTGCTGAACCTGTCTCTATGTCCTGTGCTGCTGCCCAGGCAACATACAGAGTCAGGCCCTGGCTCCGTGTGTTGTTCTAGGAGGGAAGCAGTAAACTGTGTGTACCTTGGGAGCAGTGCCTGAGAGGAGTCAGAGACACAGCAGGGCCCCTAGACGGTCCCCTCTGGGCTGCCCTCTCCCGGCAACTGGTCCCCAGGGTCCAGGCACAGAAAGTCATACCTGTGACTACCCCCAGTTGCAGTGAGACGGCCACAGGCGCTTAGACTCCTGGGCCTACCTCTGGCCACACTTGGTCCTCTCAAGCAAGGTCCAGAACACGGGCATCTGTGCCAATGGTCCCATGGATACTGGGGCCTGGTTGGCTGCCTTTGAGAACTGGAGGTAGAGCCTGTGCCCCGGAACACCTCATGGGCCACACAAAATTCTTCCATTTCATGTAACCCAGTCTCTCCCCTTGAAGAAACCGTCGCTGTGTGCCAGCACCAAGTCCTCACCGGGCTGAGGGCTCGAAGTCTTGGCCCCAGGACACTGAGATGTCTCTTAGCCACCCCCACCTGGTGAGGGTGTGGTATCTGGGAGAGAGGAAACAGGCTTTGTGCCCTTGGTACATGGGGGTTATGGCCATGGCTGCTAGAGGGCTCAGTGGTACTCAGCCCGTTCCTTCTTTTTTTTTTTTTTTTTGGTTTTTCGAGACAGGGTTTCTCTGTGGCTTTAGAGGCTGTCCTGGAACTCACTCTGTAGACCAGGCTGGTCTCGAACTCACAGAGATCTACCTGCCTCTGTCTCCCGAGTGCTGGGATTAAAGGCATGCGCCACTAACGCCCGGCTAGCCCGTTCCTTCTTGATCTCTCCCGTGCCCCTTCCTCCTACTCTTCCCTCCCCTTCTCTACTTCCTGTCCTCCCTCTTCCCCCTTCCCTCCTCCCACCTCTCCCTGCTTTCCCTCCTCCTCATTCCTTCTTCCCAGTGGAAGGGAGCTCCCTGGTGATGGGAAGCCTCCGGAATGTCTTTGCTCAAGTTCTCGGCCTCCTGGGTGGGGCTGCTGGTGGGAGGGAGGTCTCTCAGGCACAGGCCACTGGTGAGCATAGTCTCGATGACACACTTCTCTGATGCAGGTGTGCGCCCTGTGCTCTGAGGGCCTGGCCCTGCAGGCTGGCTACCTGGAGGTGCTACCTGCTGGCTTCTAGCGAAGGCCTCTGTGGTACACTAGCCTCACACATGACACCTCATGGCACATTTGGTTAACTGCCCCCCCACCAGGTTTGTGAACTGGAGAAGGGGGCACTGGCAATTGTCAGCACAGAACCCTGCCAGAGCCAAGGCATTGCCCGGCCCAAGAAGCCGTCTGTCTCCACAGAAGCTTCGGGCTGTGTGGCAGGTCTTAGAGGGCCATTTCTCCACCACAACCACCCATGCTCCAAGTAGACATGAACACAGCCAAATCTGAATATCTCTCTCTCTCTGTCTCTCTCTCTCCCTGTCTCTCTCTGTCTCTCTCTCTGTCTCTCTCTGTCTCTCTCTTTCTCTCTCTGTCTCTCTCTCTGCCTCTCTCTGCCTCTCTCTTTCTCTCTCTGTGTCTCTCTCTTTCTCTCTCTCTGTCTCTCTCTCTGCCTCTCTCTGCCTCTCTCTGTCTCTCTCTGTGTCCCTCTCTGTCTCTGTCTCTGTCTCTGTCTCTGTCTCTGTCTCTCTCTCTCTCTCTCTCTCTCTCTCTCTCTCTCTCTCTCTCTCTCTCTCGTAAGGACTCCTGTCTACCACCACACAACAGGCAGTCTTTGAGGAGAGTACCATGGACAGGTCCCTCCTGGCCCCCTCACCCTGCTCAAGGCAGTGAACCATCCTTACCAAGTGGGAAACCCACCAGCATGATTGCCATGCGTCTAATTAGGAGAGCTGTATGAAGTGAGCACTTCTGCATGATTAAATGTCAGGAGAAACTCAGGCGAGGTACGAAGGGCTCAAGTGCCTCTCCGGTCCCTGCCCCACCTGCTAACCCCTAATTAGAATACTTACGGCCCAATAAGAAGATTGAGCGCCACTCTTGGATGCTCTGAAGGTGAGAGCCATGCTTGGGAGGCGGCAGAGGGCTTGATTGCTGGACTTCATAATTAGCATCTAACCGCGCCACGCTCACACACACGTGCCACGCTCACACACACATGCCACACCCATGCCAGGCTCACATACCCATGCCATGCTCACACACACATGCCACACACATGCCATGCTCACACACCCATGCCACGTTCACACACCCATGCCACGTTCACATGCCCATGCCATGCTTACACGCACATGCCTCGCACATGCCTCGCACATGCCTCACACATGCCACGCTCACATGCCCATGCCATGCTCACACACACATGCCATGCTCACACACACATGCCATGCTCACACACCCCTGCCACACTCACATGCCCACGCCATGCTTACATGCACATGCCTCGCACATGCCACGCACATGCCATGCTCACATGCCCATGCCATGCTCACACACACATGCCACGCTCACACACCCATGCCACGTTCACACACCCAT